TACAATTCTAATGTGTCGTTTCCGGTAATCTGTAAATATGCATTGCACTTACACTCCTGTTTTTTTTGTCTCCAAAATCTCATAGAAGCAAAGGCTGATTCCATTCCCATGCATCCAGCCTATCCCTCTTTTTGCTCAGTTCATACCCCAAAAACTGAACTTATTCGCTCTCAGACTTACCTAAGCATCAGCTTCATAAATAGGGGACTCCTGTACTGACGGCGGGTTTCAATTGGACAATTTCCACTCTCACAGGCTCAGTTTTTTTTTTGCTTCTGCTTTTCTTTGCTTTTGCCTATACACTCGGGTTTGCTTTAATTTGCTTTTTTGCAGTTCTGTACTAATTCTTACTCTTTACTGCCGTCTCCAGTTCTTCGCCTCAAGAACGACTTATGTCCTTTCTCTACCCTTGTCTCCAAATCCTGCACGCAAAGCAACATCTGAGCTCCTTTTCATCTTCACCATAACAGCATTCTAGAAGCAAGCATTATTTCAGCCCTTTCCCTATCCAGGGCATCCAGGATACCCTGGGTGCCCTTCTCCTTTTCACCCATCCCCCCTTCCCTCCTTCCCCTCCCCAAACATACGTGAATTAGCCAGCCAACAAAGGATCTACGCCCTGCAGCCATTAAATCCAACCACCCCAGCCTCCCCTCCCCCCGCCCACCCCATAGAACGAACACGCAGCACACCACTCTCCCTTCTCATTTCCCTCATCCAAACTCCCCTCACGCACCACAGGGCATCCCTACCCGCCATCACCACAAGGAAGAAAACGTCCCGAGCCCACGCACGACGCCAACCGGGCCCGATCCGACTTCGACAACTGCCTGCGGAACGCCCACGCAAACACACACACCCGAGTTGCGGTACAGCTAGTAAAAGCCAACTCGCCTCGCCGACTCATATGACACTAGTAAAAACCCACCCGGCCAGGTCAGAATTATGGGAGTCGCCGCTGGGCGGCGTTGCTCCAGTCGTTAAGTGGCACGGTTTCTGGGTTGGGGGAGGGGTGGAGGCTGGTGCGGGCTTCCCTGGGGAGGTTCGGAGGGAGGGGGGGAGGGGGAGGCTAGGGGGGATAGCTGTTGACTTCAGCTAGGATCGCGCAATCTACACTTGTTTGTGTGTTTGGTAACATGGTGACGTAGATTAAAGAGAGGTGGGTGGGAAAGTAGGGGTTTGGAACTAGTATGGGCTGCGGAGACTGATGGTAGGGGAGGGACTGGGATATATTTGGTTGGAGAGCGCAATGATAGGGAGCTCGGGAAGACTGGGAGTTGTATTGAGGGCAAAAACTGAAGAAAGGGTAGAGAAGGGGAATGAGGATACTAGTCGGGAGCTCGGACGTAGGAAATGGCAACAGTAAAGAAAAAGGGATAACGCGGCACTATAACTGAAGGCAAATTAAAGCAAAAAGAATAAATGGCAACGCGCACCTGGCTAACCGGTGGGATCATGCGTTTTGTGCAATTCAGCCCATCGAACGATTGCCTGTTAATGATTTTCACTTCCTTTTACTTTAGTCTATGCAAAAATAGTTCGAACATTGAAAAACAGTTAAAAATTCCACGCACCAGCGTATGAAAGCCGAATTCGAAATCTTGAAGGATGAATATCTTTCCGTGATTTCCGAGCTAATAGGTTATCCGTCAAAACTTTCACGAGGCCGTAGGTGGTAACCGAGAGCGCGAGAACGCTGAGTTTGAATGGGCAAGGTTGAGC